TTGGCATGGAATATATCTCTGTTGCCCTGTTTTCATCCACTTTCCTCAAAGAGGGGGGAAACCTACCTATAGTGGGGAGTAATACACGGCATCCATAAGTTGAGCCGATGTTTCCTCTAAACCGATGCCATTTTGGACACATGTAGGAATATCACTCTTCCTTTCCTGCCCTCTCTTTCTGATGTTAATAAGCAAGAATTGAGAGGCTGGGAATAGAGTTTACTGACTCATGAGCTGAGGGTGGGCGGCTAACCAGGTATATGACACGGCACTGATTGGAAAGCGCTGAGTTTCGCATAACTCCTACATAACTTCACGTTAAAAGGAAAAATGAAATTTGCTCCTAGTAAAGAGGTGTCACGATAGGCAGAATGTGAACAATAGGTCTTTATCGATTCATCGGTCATATCAGGGCACCATCTAAGAATTGAGCGTAGGGATCGTAATCGAGTGACGCGATTAGGGGCCGTCGCGTCGGTGGCGCGGCATGTTTCGGAGTTTCAATGTCGTTTTTCTCCGCTTTCCAACTTCCAACCGTGACGGTATTGGGGCGTTGTATTGTGACTATATGCTTACATCTCGTCCTCTCAATATCCTTTAATCAGCGCATCGAAACCAGAGATGGAAAAGCTGCAATACTTACCAGGACGAATCTATGAAGACTACCACGGACCAAGCCTCATGCCTTCTTTCAACAGCTTGTCGACTGTGTGCAACAGAAGGATCTCAGGGGAGCCCTACGGCGACGATCCCGATGATATCTGCAGCATCCAACATCACCCCTGCCACCAATCTGATTTTAATCAACGACTGGTAACCGTGGTACACTCCAACTATTCGCAGGAAGACGAGGAGCTTAGGGCCCAAGGAGCTCAGTTATTCAACAGTGGTATTGAATGCCTGTTACCCAGCTGATACTGGTCAGATTGATCAGATGGCTGTTTGATATGTTCGTGGTTACTCAGTCCTTTCAAACTCAGGGTATCAACTAAGCTGGGTCATGCCAACGTAGCGATTGTTGCGTCTGTTGTGGATATGCGACGACGTAATTGCTATTGATGGTAAGCATTTTTACCATAGGAAGGGTTGCTGAAAAACCATAGCATATAGTCAGTGTGAACCGCTGCGGTCGTCTAGATACTTGATGGTTTCTGCGACATAGTCGTAACTATTCATGTTAAATGTGCAGGTTCTTGGACACGTGGAGACAGAGCTGGTTCTCTCCCAATTGCATGTGATAGCCCACCATAAATTTCTCGTCATTATCTTCTCTCTATGTCTCGTTTTGTGGACGTACAAAGCCAGGTGAGTCCCTTACCCTCTATCAATTTTTTTTGGCTGGTTAACGAGATGGGAGCTCAGTCCGGTCGAATCCGGAAGCCCCACGATCGATACAAGCGGGAATACCACCCCTAGTGCCGAGGATGATGGAACAGTCGTTCAAAGCCCGGGAGACTCAGAAAGTCCAACTGAAATGCAGAGTCCTGGTGGCTCGGGCTCGACGACGGAAGTCGATACGGATAACGAGTTCTCTCCTACAAATCAAGCATCCCAGTACGAATACATCGGCCCGCTGTTTGTGAGGCTCAAGGTGACTATGGTTCTCCAAGCTTGTCGACCAGGCAACGGATGCCACGATGCTGACACTAACAAAGGAAGCGTCGGTGTACAGAAGGTCAGTGAGATCTATTCATCGTGATGAAGTCAATCTTATTCGGATAGCTATAGGCATAAGCGCTTTCGAGGATGCACGATGTTTGAATATCGTTATAGCGAAAAGAAAGGCAGGGTGATCGCTGCGAAAGTTACGGAGCCTGGGCAGACGTGCGGGACAGCTTATGTGAGTCAAAGTCCGTTTGAAGGATTGTTAAACTTGTGTTCATGTTCGTTGCAGTGGCAGCTCAGGAGAGCAGAGAAAAGGTTGAGGTTGTAAGCACAGTTCGAAATCAAGAAATGTGCAAGGGACACTCTCAACGGGAACAGTGGTGCTTCCTAAGGCACACTACACGCTAAGGACGGCCTCGTATAGTCAGCAGTCGCAATCATGCGATATTAAATGTATGTGCTCATTAATAAGTGAAGACATTAGTTGAAGGGGCTCACACATTTTCTGGCTGCACGTTCTTGACCTGCGGGACCAGAGTATCAATGCAAGGATGCACATTCAACGCAAGATCCTATCAACTATACCCACGTCACTGTCGCCTGTTCAGCGTTCTAACGAACTGTTGGCGCTTGAATACACGGGGTTGCAACCGAGAACTGATGTGGATATTTTTCACCCTGTCTGTGGTTCGCTGAGGCGATGCGATGAAGCAAAGAAGCAGCGACTATTCATAGCTCGCAGATTCGTCTTATCCGGCAGCTTCACGACTGATTTTAACGTCGTCTCAACAAAGTCTGTGCCAACTTGTAGGGGTCGCGACCAGACGAGGCATCAGAGCACTACACTATCGCCCAGGAGGGCAGTGGATTTGTTCAGTCCTTGCTTCAAGGACATAAATCGTTTGCTCTATGTTGCAGGCTTCTAAATCTCCACATCACCTCATGTTCATCAGCGCTCATTCTCAGATTCAGCGCCCATCTTCACAAGTTCACATGCGTGATTGTTATTGAGCAGTGGATCGAGGCTCAAGAAAGGACACGGTGGCAAGTGAATGTCACTGACTAGACGCGCGCGCACGCTGTGGAAACAAAAGTCACTCCGACTCACAAAATGGAATGTATGTCTTAGCGGGTAGTAGGTCGCTCAATATGGAAGTGTATGGTAATGAATAGACAGTGTAACATACTTCTATAGTGGGCGGTAGGTGTATGTGAAACGAGCTGTACCGGTATTAAATTTAGAGCCCGTATGCTGATTGTTTCATGGCGAATCACGGTGATGCGCCAGTGGGTGTATTCTTGTCCAGCGTATGATATTTAAGCACTTGTTCTTGTTGCTTCATACCATCGCGGATCCTGATATGTCAGTAGTGCCAGCTCTACGACTTCCTGCTCTAGACAATACTCTCGGGGCCCTATACATTGGGGCCAGTCTATCAACGCTGTACGTTTTGAGGCTCTCAGAGTATCATTAGTTCTCATAGCAAGGAAGATTGTACGGTGCTATTTGCGTCCAGACGTTTTTCTACATAACTTCAAATCGGGTACGATCTGACCGTTGGTGGTTGAAGCTTCTGGTGTTCATCATAGTGTAAGCGCTATTCTGTATACACTGACGGCCATGTAACTTACCTTGCTCACAGTGCAAGTGCTTCACCCAACCTCATCTGTCGTGCACTCACCTGTAGCACGATAGGCATTAGATACTATTAGCCAAGGCATGCTTTTGGCTGGTATGTATCAGTATTTGGTGAGCGACTTCGCCAATCCAGCTGCATTTGCAGAAAGAGGTGCTAGTAGCGGCGCAGCGTATGTATACGTCTTGTATTCACTTACCCTAATACTATTGACGGGATAACTAGATTGATCACATATGCAAGTGTAACTAATTTCTACCGTGGAATTACTTATTCAATTAACACTACGGCAGGAGGAGGCTATCGTGGGCGTAAGTAACATTTATTTGCCTTCTCCCGTGTCGCAATACGCTCAGAGGACCAGGCCTGTTCTATGTTACTGGTGCAGCTGTACGGAATCATTTATCGCCAATTCGGCTCATTTATACCTGTTGATAGCTTCTTCTGTTGGCGCATATGGACATTCAGTGCTTCTTCGCTGAATTTATGGCCGCGAATCATTTTTGTAGCTTTCACGGTGAGAGAATTGCATGATTCTTCTTACCGTGTGACATCTTCATGTGCTTTTGATAGACTCTGTTAGCATTTCTCAACTTTGGTTAGTGGGATGATGCTCGCAGTACTAAAACTGACTTGTCCTTCGAATCCAGCTTCATGCGTCGGTCCGTCAATACATCCCGGAAGAGACAGAGCCGGTGCTGACGTTCCACAGCCAACAGCATTTTCGGTTTTCGCCCCTTGCTGACGTCCAGGGGCCCTGGGTTTTTCAGTGAGTAACGGTTAATTACAAAGACCAAGCCAATGAATACCTCCTAGGTCACATTTACACTTGAAACGTCAATTGGAATGGCTTTTGACCTGATCATGACTTTGGCTATGAGTAAGTGCTTCATCTCGTCCGGTTTTGAGTGACAATCTAATGAGCTTGAAGTTCTAAGTCTTCACCGCGCTCGATCAGGGAGAAGACAGTGCGTGGCTGGTCTCGTTATCGACGATTATTTGACGTTCTCGTCTTCCGGCACAGAAGTGATCATGTTATTACTCTTTTGACATTATTCACTGTCAATACGAACCTCATTACGACGTCAGTATTTCTGTCGCCTCTGTCAATGTTGTGCTGAGACTTGCCAATAGTTTAATCTCAGTAGGATCACTGGTTACTGTACGGATGAGTTTGACTTATGTCCGTGTTGGTGCTCAACAAGTATTCTCCCAGTTTGTGGTCTTTCCCAATGCAGCAATCTATGGAGGCATTTCCCTCCTACTTGGAAAATGTACGATTAAGTTCCTCAGATCCAGCCCATTCACTAATTCTTATCTCTTCAAGCGTACTTGAACACATTTTTAGCAATGTAAGTCTAGTCTTCTGTCATTCCAAGTGAAGCCTGCTACATCGTCCTACGTTAGACTTAATGCTAGAGAGTACCTTCGAGAAAAGTTGGATCCGTCGATGTCAATACCCGAGGCACAATCTTCACACCCAGTGTTTGCTGAACCCACTGTACGTGATTATTCTCATGCTTAGGCTTTAACATGACAGTATGCCCAAGTCAACTGATACCACAACGGAGAAAGTCGTTCGCCTTCTGCTGATGGCTTGCCAACAGAAGTGTAATTTTGAATTCATATGGGATATCGGATTGATGGTGCTGGAGGAACTTGATTGGGAACTCATTTTCACACGTTGAAGTGTGTTGAAGTGATTAATATGCGTAATTTTATGATGTTATAAAGATGTACCCCTTCGCTAACGAGTGTGGGACTATAGCCAAATGGTTAAGGCGACAGATTAGGGTGTGGGTACCCCGGTCGCCCAAAGGGCGACCCCTAGCTGGTCGAACCTAGTGTCGAACACATTATCTGTTACTGTCTGAGTGCGCAAGTTCAAATCCTGCTGGTGTCGTTTTACTACTTCAAGAAATAAAATTATAATGAAATGTTCCGACGGACTGATTCCCGATTCCCGAAGTTCACTCCTCCTTAGCTTCTCCGACTTCAAAGTTCCTGATTAGTTCAGCGTTGATCGCTAGAATACTTAACAAAAGCCCACGGCCCGCTGAATGTTTTGGAATCCAAACCAAGAAACTTACGTTCTCTTGGGATGAAAAGCTACTGTTTCACTCCGTCGTAAGACCCAAGCGGTGATGACCAAATATGGGCGCCCTCCCTTTTCCGTCCACTCCGAACACGCCTTCTTGATCTTTGTAACGGCTGACTACTCCTCATATAATCATCGCAATATTTCATTAACTTCGAAAGTGGCGCCAATTTTTCCCGCTGTCATGCCAGTCGAACCTAATTTTTTAAAGCAAAAGACACAATTAAGTGACAAAAGGTGCGAGTGTAATTTGTTCTTTCATCATCCTCCTTAGAGTGTCTGTAGAGATGGGAGCATAAGAGGACAAGGAACGCGAGGACAGGAACCGATACTGAAGCTATGTGCATGAGGAGTGAGGAGCTCGGTTGCCAGGAGAGCCCTTGTAGCATCAGAACTCCCGTCAGTCGCCACTGTGCATACTCGTCATCTCAATGGTTTGCTTCTCATCAACGAGAGCTTTCATCACCGTGCTGTCTGATAGAAAGCTGCCGTTCACACCGTTATCCCGTGCCACCTACAACTTTGCCTAGGATGACAAACGCGGTAGTGACGTTGACAGTCTGCACAGGACCAATGTCTGAGTTACACCAACTTCCTTCCAATCTGGGCATAGTACTATTGATCGACCAGAGGTGTCAACCCACATATCCGAAGTCGTCCATTTGCTCAACTTCAAGAATTTACATCGGAAATTTGTAGGATTCTAGGGTAAATACCATACCTGCATTCTGCCAAGTTGCAAATTTTTTGGGACGACGTTAGCTGTTGCGGAATGGTACTGGCATGCAAGTTGTCAATTTTGGCAGGGAAGTGTCAAGTCTGATCGTTGCACCTTGACAATAATCCTGGTTATTTTTTCGGAGTGAGACACACCAGATGAGTTAACGAAATTATGAAGAATATCAACAGGTCTCAGAAAAAATTTCCAGGTAGAACGGGAAAGAATCGCAACTGCTAGAAATCAAAAAGCGTCGAAATTGACACTTCTGGTCGATCGATAGTAAGAGAAGCAATGTGCGTGGTACGGTGACTGAACATCAAGTGGTATGTATTTCACGGTAAGCTTTGTGTGGGACCGAAGAGTCCTTTTGAAGATTTCGACATAAAAGCTTTACATGCCAGCTTGAAGCTTGAACTCGGACAGTGTTTTTAATATAAGCATAACAAGGATAGCAAAGCCGTGAAAAGAGCAAAAGCAAGTAAACGGCATCGTCAAAGTTCAGAATGAAATCAATATCATGGTACGTCAATGTTTTCCTCGACCGGATAACGCTCATATTGCGCTGTCTTATTCCAACTAGTCTGGATGAAGGCATCTGTCCCAACTACTCCCTCGACCAGTTCTTTGAGTCTTGTATCGCTGTCTCGACGAAGACTGAAGCAGAACCGTGATGAAGTGATACACCTGTATAGGTGACGAGATGTTAAATGTTCGCAGATTGCGCTCCACAATGTAAACGGTCTATGTAAACGAGTGTCAGTCTTTGTAAGACTTTGTTGGAAAGTACTCACATCGGTGATCTCGGAGAACCACACCATCAGAATCGCACCTTGGACGTCATTTGTCGCCAGGCCAAATACCGCCCGGTTCTTGATACCTAGGCTGGACCAGGTATCTCACTGAGGCCTCCAGATACATCTTTACTTGGTATAGGGCTTTCTTATACGACGTGGTGGGTTTCTTGTATTCGGCGACCAACACGGCGAGCAGGAGTCTTGTAAGTAATTCTTGGATGTCAATTACGGCCATCGGAAGTCTTTCCGGTTCGTCGAAAGAAGTCTCCGAGCAGGTCACAGCAAAAGGATTTTGCAAGTCTTTCTCCTTCACTAGCAGCCTGCACATTCGAGGGCGGCGGGTCCTTGTTCAGCTGGCGCTCCAGACAACTTCTGAGCAGGCGTTCTGTTTTGCACGAGCAGCTCCAAGCCGTCGTGTTCCTCAGTGATGCTGCCCAAATCGCCCCTACGTGACGAGGTGGCCGACTTCGATCCTCTAGACTGGCCTTCCGACGTTGAAGGAGCCTTCCGCTGGATAGATGTCTTGTGATCTTGTTGCTCCTCGATTTTGTCATCTGTCAGCATCTTTAACTTGGCTGCCTGGAGAGAATTTACGGTATCTGTCGGGCGTATGAGAGGCTCTGTAATTTTGCAGCGAAGGTCCACAGATAACATCAAGATTGCGTCACAAATGCCAAAGTTTGGCTCCGCCATGCCGCGTTTGATGATGGTTTGGACGGCATCATCCATAGATCCAAAGAGTGTGTTAACTTCTCGCATGTGCTCCAAGGCTGTGTCGACAGCCTGCTTTGCCTGTAGACGGATGGTGACAGTGGTGGTCGCCTCAGCACGGCCAGGGTGTGCTGAGCCCATGACAAGAATCTGCGTAGTCTAAGAATTGTTTCGCCTTAGGTGGTTCCGGAGATTTTAATAGGTCCATGATGACATTACTGGAAAGCGACAGAGGTCTCTCCAATCTATCATCTTAACTGAGAAGGCTGGGCCTGAATCCTAAAACGGATATACTCACATTAATCTCGCAGAGGCGACTTCACCAGGAGCTACGAACCCAAGATTAAGCAATGCATCCCAATCGTGACGCGCTTTAGCTTCGTTATGGATTTTGCCTCCTAAGAGCTTCGTATAAGCCCCTACCGAGGCCCAAAGAAGATGGGAGAATGATCCGGCGATGATTTCCCAGAATTCCTGGTCAAGCTCTTTGATGGGTCCAAAATCAGCATTGTCAATGTCTGGATCGACTTCGCTGTCGTCGTCACTATCCCGTTCACTGGCTTCATTGCGCTTAGACACGGTCTTCATCTGTTCGAAGAAATACTTTCGTAGATCTTTGATTCAGCGGTCAACGGGAGGGATCTCGCTCTAGGGACAAACGAACGGTGAGCTCAGTGTATAGCGTACAACAGGAGTACAACGTACGAGCAGATCGATGGGCGGTATCAGGTATCGAGTCATATCTTCGTAGAAGTCCAGCTGATGATTTATCTCATCAACGAGCCTAAGATCAACAAGTGCGTCCCTAGCGATGAGCTTTATGTTTGCGATGCTGGCCATTTTACGGTCGTGAGAATAACTCAAAAATGACAATTTGGCTCCGGAGCCTATGCCTTCTAGAGCCTTAGCACCCAACCTGAAGTGATATGAGCATAAAATCATCCGGAGACGTTGAAAGAGCTACCGGGAGCAAGACAAAGCGTCTGAACTACTTTCGTCCACCAATATTTGGTTTCCTGTATGGTCTGTTTGGTGCTTAGACACCGATGAAAGAAAAAAAATATCTGACCTTTCCCTGGCAGAACACTTAAGAAACAATAATAACTGAATGCGACTCGAACTCACCGTGAACGGCCACGAGCATCCCTGGAAGGAACATAATTTGTTGTTGAGGTCCCAGTTACAGAGGAGTGGGAGCTCTGTTGAAGAAATACGCGAGCACGATCTCCGGCGGGGATTCTGTCAGAGCTATCGACTGACCAGGACCGAGTGTGATAGCTATGGACTGGTTCAGAAGCAGTTCTGGAAGGAGCTCGACCAGGTCGGGAGCCCATAGTGCCGGCAGATAGGCGAAGTGAGGGTAGTGGCGACGCTGAAGGGAAGGGATAACGGCTATTATATACGTATACGAATAATGAGTCAAAGAAAACGAGACAAATTGAAGAACAAATTGCGTACCATCCTTCAACTGAATGGAGCCAATCAATGATCCTTTGCTCCCATTGTTCTTCGGGGCCGCATTCGTTGTCATCGACGGTATCCGATCTCCATGGAAGTCGTTTGAATACCCGCTGGTTACACTGCGCTACGACTGCCTCAACATGTGTACGGAGGTTCAGTATGAACTGAGCGAACTTGAGCGCGCTTTCTGGATCTGTAAGATCGTAGACACCTATAGAAGGGTCTGTACGCGTCCCATCTGCATATGCGAAGTGGACCATGGGCTATTCGAAATCAAATTTACTGTCAGTGGCGCTACGAGTCAGAAGCAACCGACGCACCAGGACATCAGGGTCACAGATCGCTTCTCCTGACCAACCCAGTACCACGCGGCCTACGTTACCCCCAGTTGAAAGGACAATACCAATAACGGGCTCGACGACTCCCCATGCCCGGCGCTGGTAGAGTAGACCGCTCATCAGATCGAAAATGTCGTCCTCTCCGGCAATACAAAGAAATGGGAGAACAGCGGAGAATGGATGTGGCCAGTAAGCGAGGATGTGTGCATCAAGAGGAATGCTGGATGACTGAGCAGAGGTAGGGTCTGTTGAGGTATCCGACCACCCGTAGCTGGTACCCCTCGATCTTGATTCTTCGGCATACGAGGTTGCCTCGCATTCGCTATAGTTATATCCTGACGACCTGTCCAGACGTCCTTCCACCTTATCAGAAGGGCGCTCCGAAACGACGTTTCCGGTCTGTGATATTTGCGGCCGTATGTCATCAACAAGATGAGACATCAGTAGGAAGGCATGGCCATCCTCCATTATACCATGTACATACGGAGAGCGGGGGCGTACAAACGCAGCATCTTCCCTAGAAAAAGCTAGTCAGAGCCATTGTGCCTTTGAACGAAATGGGAACTTACAACGCGTGTGAATCCACGTAGCAGGCGCGTACAAGCGAGCGTATGAGTAATTACCATATCGGTTTGGTTGAACGCAGGTTATCGTTACTTGATATACGCGAGAGAGCCCGGAGTGTGCTAACACTGGAAAGGACTATATCTAGAACGTCCAGAACGTCCGTTGGTGTTTCGGATTGTTGTCCAGATGAGCGGGGAAGCAACTCTTTAAGTT